TCGCTGCTCTATCCCCTTTGCTTTTCTGCCATTCCTCTATATGTAGCGGCACGTTTGAATGGGATGACCTAATAGTACACATTTCACAGCATTGCAGACAATTTTTAAATAGTTCCGTTCGTCTTTCCTTCCAGAACGCATTCAGTTGATCTCTGAAAACCTATCACATGTTTTGATTTATTTTCTCTTTTAATTTTCTTTACTTACTGTATTGGAAACATACATTTCTTTTGTAGCCCATTGTTTGCTTATGACTGGTTTATGGGTTGGTAAATCATATGACCGTAATTTTTAGTGGTATCTGGTTCTTCCTAAGGCAAAACCACGGTCCAAAAACCAAAGCACTGTTGTTTAATTCCCTTCGCGTTCAGCATTTTTCTATCTACATATGTTACATGGGTTGAATTGTTAGGGGTATAAAAAATACCTAACATACGGGAATTCATTCTTTGATTCCATGTATACAGGAGAGGGCAAAAAAGCCACTTTTCCGTGATTCGGTGCCTGAGTTCAGCGAGATCGTTGATTTCTCCGCCACTGTAGACCACCCTGTTGAGCTCCGCCCGAACCCGGTAATTGAGGGGTTTAGGTCAGGTGACACACTTGGATATTCCGTCTTCTTCAGGTACAAGCGCCCTTCGATTCCAAGTAGGCGCGAGTTTTTCGATTCCATGTGGTGGCACCCGATCATGCGAAGTTTCCAAGAAGGAACGGGCAACGACATAAGCAGGATATTCTCCTCGAGTTGGTCGATGTAACCGTCAGCGTTCACCTTCAGTCCGGGGTCCACGAAGAAAATATCGGTCTTCCCATTCCAGGAACTTCCGGTCCATACCATCGCGCCTTGGCGACTGCAGTGAAGATGATATCCTTTACAGCGACGTTGTAGGGGCTGTTATATACCATAGCGATCGGAGGTCTTCCAGATCAGAGTGCTGGTCCAGGTAGCTATCCATGGGTGACTCCATACTAGAAGTTTCGCAGCTGTTTGGAGGTGACATGAATTCCAAAGGTCTTCTCCAGTCAGGCTGCGACTGGAGATGACTTCATATTTTGGTGTACATGAAGGTGATGGGCGAGAGCCAGCTCCTGCTTATCGAGGAACATCTTGGGTATCTTCCGCCCTGGTACTCGTATCCACGTCCTCTGTCTGGGCTGCGAAAACTTTGCTGATATGTGACTCGGTCGAAGTGACTTTTTTTCCCCCCCCCCCCTCCGCTGTACTTGCCTCTATCAACTCTTTCGAACCGCGCACACTTTCAAGTCGCGGA